TATAATGGTATTATAATTAGGACATTAGATGATATAAAACGTCTTTTTTCAAACCCTGACTCAGATTTACCAAAGAGCATTTCACCAATCGTTGATAATCAAGGTTTATTGTTTAATGGATTTAGAATAATATTTAGTCCAAATTCCCCTTTATTCAAAATCGACACAAAAGACTTTATATTCACATTAACGAGAGGGTTAATAGATTTAATGAATGGCAAGGATGTTGAAATTGCCGATTACAAGGATTTGGTTGCATACTCAAAATTTCTACATGCAATAAGAAAGTCAGGACCCGAAACAAGAAGATTGAAAGAAGTTGATTTTTATATAACAAAAGTTATTGAGGAAGAGGAGGTAGATGATTATGCAGAAGATTATCCACCAATCATACAAGAAATAGACGAATTCGATGATATGGTGGCATCTGGACAAGGTATAACGTTTTTATCCGACGACAATAAAGAATTGCTTAATAGATTAGAAATAATATTAGCGGCCATGAAAGAAGGTCATCGATCGGACAGACAATACAACGAAGTCAATGCCATATTAAAACGACTTTTGGAGAAAGAAATACTAAAAAAAACTATATAAACGTCATTAAAAATGTCCAATAAAGAACAATTGTTCGTTATCACCTGGAATAAACCGGACATCAAATTGTCTCTAGACTACGAGTATGAACTCGATCGCAATAAACAGTACGAACTGGGATTAAAGTATTTCTCCGTTTACAATTCCATTAGAAACATCAACGAAAAAAACAATCAACTAAAAATATCGACGGATAACGGAGTTACGTTCGAAACCATAAGCTTACTACCGGGGAGCTACGAATACGTAGCCATCAACGAATATCTATCCGAATACGCAGGAAGCGTGAACGGTAAAAACAATATCGAATTCGAAGGTAATCTGAATCTGAACAAAATAAAACGGATATTGAGAAATAACAGTCAAGTCGATTTCAACGTAGAAAATTCGTTGAATGCGTTACTAGGGTTCGATAAACGAGTATACGCGCAATCGACATTGGCGCCGCATAAGGCCAACATCGAGAACGACATCGACGTGATCAACATTCACTGTAATTTGATCAACGGTGGATTTTTCAACAAGCACAAACGCCAAATCATATACAGCATACCGGCTTTTACGGTACCGATCGGATACAGAATTATAGAGAAACCGTTTCAAACGACCTATTTACCAGTCAATTCTTTCATGATCAAAGATATAAATCTGGAAATCAAAGACGGTAAAAACAGGTTCATAGACTTTGGCAACGAAGAAATTGTCATTCAACTTCATTTGAAACAATCTTCATTCTCTTCTTGAATAGTAAGATAATCGAAATCATCAAATTCATAGTTTTCGTCAAAACTATACTCATCTTTATTGTTGTAAGGATACTTAATTCCTTCACTGTTTGGTGGTTTTCTTTTAACATTATTCAAATAACTTTTAAAAACTTTAGTTTGTTTATCATTATCCAATATGCTTATTTCTTTTTCATTTTCTTTTGAAATCGATATCAATGAGCTTCTGCAATGTTAATTATTATTGTTTTCAACCTGATAGTTTATGGTGACGACGGTTTAAACTCTATCCACTTACCATCTGTAGTACCGATTCGGGCGTGTTTGTAGAAAAAATCGGTTTCGTCGTCTGAGAAATCGGAATTGTCACAGCTTCCAGAGCTATCAGAATATTTTAGTACTAATCGTTTGTCTTCCACAAGCGGCTCAAACTGATATGGCTGGATATTTAGGCCGAAATTGTTGGATTCCATGGCAGTAATGAAAGTGAAAGATTGATGTATGCAAGGGGCGCGAGTGTTGTCTATGACGTCATAGATCAGCTGACTGCTAGCCTAATTAACTCTCGGCTGGAAAGCGACCAGAGTCAGAAATCTAACGTCTTGGCATAAATCCTTTAAGCACTGAAAATGATAGAACCACTAAACGGCGTTGCAATGAAACGCGAGCGACTTGTGTATTACCGTTTTTGAGAATGACTTCTTTTTTCCTAAGAGCGAGTGATAGATCTCTCAGATTGATCTTTGCTCCTAGATGATGAAGTCGGTCTACGCCAAGGGTAAGGGAATCTGTTATCGGTGAAACCACGATATTCCATACCACTTGCGTTGTCCCAATAGTAAAAAGAACATCCTTAGCCATAACTGCAGTGATAACAGAGAAGGTCCACGAAATTCCATTATCTTTAACGGTATTATGCGCATCGGTATCCACAACACCAGAAGTTTTGAAATTAAACATCCGTGTTGGAACAATCAGACTTGTGTGCTCATTTGCTACAGTTTTATACAGAGACACCTCGAGTACAGAAGATTCAAGAATTGGGTCCTAACAGTTTTGTTTACAGCTTGAGACTTAGCCCTCAGTCTCCACCTTAAATAGTTTAAAGGTTTCTCATTTATCAAAGGACATTCTCGGATCAAATGACCCTCTTCCTGACATTTAAAACACCGACAAGTATTCCTGTGATTTGAGGAAGGCGATCGGCTTCTAATCCCCTAGAATCATTCAAAATTTCTAATATCTTACCCACTTTCTCATCAGTCGAAGAAATCTCCGACTGATCTTTAATCACTCTAAGGGAATCTTGTTCCTTGGATAATGTAAATGGCTTAAGAGTCTCAGTTGAAGAGCACTAAGTGTTGGCTCTGACCGTCGTCTTGTGACTCTACTTCAGAGTCAAAGAAAGAGATCTTGCGAACGTCGTTCTTTCGCGAACCTATGATTAGTTTTTGATTACTTATACTCGACTTTACTGCCTGCACAGCCTCGCCTAGCGTTGGAGGTTTTGATCCAAAGCGGCGAGTGCTGCCCGTTTATAGTTACAGCACCTTAAAAGGAATCAGCAGCTACAGTTTCGACGAATCTATCAGATTCGCCAGCATAGCCTTCCAGAGCTAGTTCCAGAATTCTTTCGGCAAATTCATCAACATCTTTTTGTTTGAGGTTTGTCTTTGGACAAGAATCGAGCCACCAATTTTGCAACTAACAGATCGTAGTCATTTTGAACAGAAGCAGGTTGATTACTAAAGAATTTCAAAGCTTCGATCAATTTGTCGAGTTTAAATGACTCATTCCAGTGGTATCTGACAGCAGTTCTCTCAAACTTCAATATGTATGGTTCCCAGTCTACCTTGCCATTAAACTTTGAAAGCTTTTGTTTAAACTGAAAATCAAACTTTTGACTATTGGAAGCACCAGCATGTTTTTGATATTCTGGGGACATTTCAAATGACTCAGAGTCTACCTTATTATCTCTTTGTACTGATGATGTTAAGTAAAGCATTGTTCTTATACTCTTTGGTGCAAGCCTATCGATCTCTCATTTCTGTATTTACATCACCATGTTAGGACTCCAACTCATCCCTAAGAGAACTATTTACCACATCCGCTTTGGCCATATCAGATATAGGTTTTTGTGTAGCCTCCAACAATCTGTTATCAAAATCAGATTGCTGCTTCCCAATGCAGTATCATATTTCTTTCTTTCAAAGTACTTAGATCCTACCAATTGATCAATTGTATTGTCCTTAATTCGCAAATTGCATTCCAACTCTGAAACTACAGCTTTGTAATCCGACGACTTTTGGCTGAATTTTACTTGCATCTGATTCTTAAGTTCCCCTGGTTTCAAAATCTAACTGCAGGTAGACATCTGCGATTACATTTCCGCCTGAAACCTCGCATAATCCATTTCTCGTACGCTCTTATTGGCTTATGTAGTTTAGATATCACCAAATGAAATTACACCCTCCTCCAAAAGGGGTTCCCATAATGATGATGGTATCTCGGAAATTACCTTCAAATCATTAATGTTTAACGAATCGCCTAATTGCGAAACATCTATTATCAGGCTCGCTCTTTTTGAACCAATGTTCTGTAAGTTTTCGAATTCGGAAAGATAAGCCTAATTCAAATCATGAGACATGACTTTATTATGGACACCGACTACAAATAATTATTTTTACTGTTTATTAATATTGCCGAAATTAATAGACTATTTTGAGACGTATCTTTTATTAATGAAAATAGCACTAGATTCCACAGAAATCACTATTAACTCTGTAGAACCGTATCCACTTTCATTTCAAATAAGAAAACAGAAAATACAATTAGAAAGTAATCAACAAAGTCGAAAATTTTTCCCAGAAGAATTTCGTACCATCAGTACGTACTATCTAAGACAATCGTAGATAAGCAAAGT